TGGTGCGGCTGCACGGATTTTCGTGCGGATCCGCAGTGGCACCACCTGCACAGATATGAACCCAGCCTAAAGGCGGAAGGTTTTTTACCTTCATGTATTCTATGTAAGGTAAAAACCATCAATGTGCAGCTTCCTCTGGGGCCACTCAGTGGGGGGGGAGGGGCCAGAAGCGCTGGCGGTGGACTCATAAAGAGGAGGATTGAGGCCGCTCTGTGCACAGAGCAGATAAGTATAACATGTTTGGATTAAATGAACGTTTATAACCAATTTAACAATCAATAGCACTGCCATACGTCTGCAAAAGGGCAGCATATTTTTCGGCACTGCATAAAAGCGTGCGATTTTACGCATATTCCCACAATGCACAAGTGAGAACGTACCTTTAAAGTTAGTTTTCATTTATCTTAGCAAATGAAGTGAAACCAAGTGAAAATTCACTTTGCAAAGAATACCAAATCACATGCAAAGAAAATAAAAATAAACAGATTTTTGCTTGTATGTGATTGGATGATTGAAGTTGCCAAACTCACCCCATTCACTAAGTTAAGTGAATTTTCTCCCTGCAAAGTGATTTTTTTACTTAATGAGTGAGGTGAAGTTGCGTTGATGTCAATCATCCAAACATGTGCAAGCATAAATCTTGAGTTATTAAATTCTCATCACGTAATTTGGTATTTTTTGCAAAGTGTATTTTCACTTGCTGCACCTCATTCGTTAGGATCAGTGAAAATTCACTTTGCAAAATGAAAAACATTCGATTTATAAAGGAACAGGATTTACTCTTTTAGTAAATCAAGGTTACTGTGTCTGTGTGGAGGTGGACATCTTAGTAGTGGGAGGACTTTCATCTCTACCAGCAAGGAGAACATGGAGCAGCACAGCATTGACATCACCAATTAGCACTCCAAAATCTTTGGGGGCTAGCAGTCCGAGGCAACAGTGCCTTAGATCTCACACTGCAGATATAAAGCTTTGAGGCTCCAATCACAGGACAGCCTAGGCACATTTACATGCCAGGAAGTGCACTATTTTTTCAGGAGAAAAGACAAAAAGCTAATCTTCCTAGGTACTGCTTAGGTGCAAATAACAGCTCTAGATATTCCCTATGACATAGCAAATCTTACTTTTTGAGTTTAGGTCCACTTTAAGTACATTTACTATGTATTTTTTTTACACATTATATTAGGCACTAATAATGAAGCATGTATTATTTCTTACAATTCATGTTAATTAGCTAATAATTAAATATTGCATACAAATATTTAATATTTACCACTTGCAGCCAGTGGGTGGTGTCCTGAGCAAGACAAGGCAGCAATTGAGCTAAAAATAAACATGAAGGCCTCAAAGATAAAAGACACATCTTCCTACTTATCTTCTAGCATACAGTGTAGTATCTTAACTTAGAGAACAGACTGCTAAAAATCATACACGTAATCATATATTATTTCTTACAATTTATTTTAATTAGCTAATAATGAAATACTGCATACAAATATTTCATATTTACCACTTGCAGCCAGTAGGTGGTGCCCTAAACATGTCTCAGCAGCAACTGAGCTAACAATAGACATGAATGACTGAAAGATAAATGACATCTCCTTACTTCTCTTCTAGCATACAGTGTAGTATCTTAACTTGGAGAACAGTCTGCTAAAACATCACACACATAATCATGTATTATTTCCTACAATTTATTTTAATTAGCTAATAATGAAATGTTACATACAAATATTTCATATTTACCACTTGCAGCCAATAGATGGTGCCCTAAGCAAGTCACAGCAGCAACTGAGCTAACAATAGACATGAATGACTCAAAGATAAAAGACATCTCCTTACTTCTCTTCTAGCATACAGTGTAGTATCTTAACTTAGACCAGCCTTTCTCAACCAGGGTGCCTCTGGGGTGCCTTGAGGTTTCTTCAGGGGTGCCTTGGCAAAATGTCTAAAAATTACCCAAAACTTGCATACAAGCCAGCGGGTGGGACAAGCCTGCCTTTTAGTTACACAAAGCCACAGGTTTCCATCGTGCACCATTACCACCTTCTAGCCACCGGCATCCTGACAACCAATTACATCATCAGTTGATGAGGAGGACGTCAGCTACATGCACAGCATCCTACTTTGACCCTCTCCTGCTCCTCTCCATCAATGCTGAGGGTCACATGAGCTCAGTGATGGAGAAAAACTGAGGGATAAGAGAAACATTGGAATACTAGTCAGTACCACTGTGCAAAAAGTGTATTTGCTTTGGAGGAATACATCACCTGTAATGTTGGGTGTCCTAAGTGTGTGGATGGTGCTAGCGTTATATAAAACTATTAGAATAGGTTTTTGCATTGTAGAATGGGGTGCCCTTTTAAAATTATGGACAGTCTTGAGCAGGGGCGGACTGACAAATCATGGGGTCCCCGGGCAATAGGGGATCATGGGGCCCCTGTGTCCTTGCCCAAACTCAAAAAAGCCTATGAAAAAAGGTACCAGGGGCATCTCATGGGGCCCCCTACTGACCCCGGGCCCGGTGGGTCCCTCGGACAGTGCCCGAGTTTCCAAATGGTCAGTCCGCCCCTGGTCTTGAGGCACCCCAAATAAGAATGGGGTGCCTCAAGACTGTCCATAATTTTAAAGGGAGCCTCGGGACCGTAAATTTTAAAGGGTGCCTCGGGACTGTCCGTAATTTTAAAGGGTGCCTCGGGACTGTCTGTCCGTAATTTTAAAGGGTGCCTCGGACTGTCCGTAATTTTAAAGGGTGCCTCGGGACTGTCCCGTAATTTTAAAGGGTGCCTCGGGACTGTCCGTAATTTTAAAGGGTGCCTCGGGACTGTCCGTAATTTTAAAGGGTGCCTCGGGACTGTCCGTAATTTTAAAGGGTGCCTCGGGACTGTCCGTAAATTTTAAAGGGTGCCTCGGGACTGTCCGTAATTTTAAAGGGTGCCTCGGGACTGTCCGTAATTTTAAAGGGTGCCTCGGGACTGTCCGTAATTTCAAAGGGTGCCTCGGGACTGTCCGTAATTTTAAAGGGTGCCTCGGGACTGTCTGTATTTTTTAAAGGGTGCCTCGGGAACTGTCCATAATTTTAAAGGGTGCCTCGGGACTGTCCAAATTTTAAAGGGTGCCATGACTGAAAAAAAGGTTGAGAAACACTGACTTAGAGAACAGTCTGCTAACAATCACACATGTAGTGCTAGGCTTTCTTATCAGAAAGCTTAGCATTCTTCACAGAGCATCATGGATGCACCCTATATTATGGGTCCGTATTTACAAACACCTTGGAACATGTTTAACCTATACAAAGTTACAGGTCGACTTTCCAGGAGGGATAATAATCAGCCAGTACTACTGGATTAAGAAATGACTGTGTGCCTGAGGACACATGACGACCTCTACCGAAAATGTACACCTAAGTTGATTCCCCCCGGGAGGTAGACCAACGGTGCTCCAAAGCTCACAGTGTCTTCCTGGCACTTTAAAACAGCATAGGAGATGAATTGCCAGCAGCTCGTTCTGCCGATAAAAGTACTTTTACGTTATGTTACAGCAGTTTACGCGTTTCGGTAAAAACATTTAATCACAGCCATGACTTTCAGGAATCTGCCGTAAATGGTGGGTGTCCTTCTACGCCTGGGAGACACAGCTGTAGTGTACAGCCACCCATAGCAACGAACGGCTGCACACCATACTTGAATAAGCACATACAAGGACTCGCGGAGCTTAGTAAATACAGGGATAGTTTTGTTCATTTCAATCAACCAATCACGTACAAGAAAACAATCCTGTTTCATTTTTTTCTTGCATGTGATTGGGTATTCAAAGCGAACACAACTTTATCTTCCTTTGCTAAGTGAATACACCCTACTCCTTTGGAAAATCAGCCCCCCCACACATTTGGCGAATACCACTTTGCCCTGCAGATGGGGGTGAAACTTTGATACTGTCACTCACCAAAGCAGAAATAAGAGAGGTAGCAGGGAAGGGAGGTCTTAAAGTAAAACTAAAGTCTTGTTTTACAAAAAAAAACAAATAAAACAAATGTCATACATACTTGCTCTGTGCAATGGTTTGCACAGAGCAGCTCGGATCTTCCTCTTCTTGGGTCCCCCACTGGAGCTCCTGGCTCCTCCCTCTCGTCAGGCGCCCCCACAGCAAGCAGCTTGCTATGGAGGCACCCGAGCAGGTGCGCTCCCTCCTGTCAGGTGCCCCCACAGTAAGCAGCTTGCTAAGGGGGCACCCGAGCAGGCACGCTCCCATGCCATGGCTCTGCGTGTCCATTCACACACAGAGCCGTGGTTCGGCCCTGCCTCCTCCGTCTCCCGATTGGCTCACTGGCAGTGACTGACAGCAGAGGGAAACCAATTTGCTGCTGGCGTGAAGCGAGTCCTGTCATCTGCCTATTGCCGTTAAGGAGGGGCGGTTGGCAGTGGTGTATTTACCGTGAAGCAAACAAGGTGTTTACCTAGGGTGGCAGTTTTCAGGTGGGGGGTACCTGCAGACTTAGTGAGGCTCCCTCGTGGAATCCAAGGAGGCCGCGTGCTACTGGAGAGTGTAAGCTTCCCGCACAAGGAAGGAAGACACTGTGCTTGGGTCCTTAGAGGGTAAGGCTAGTGCTTGAATAACTATCTCTGCAGGCAGGGGCTGGGGCCGGGTTTAGTGGAGAGTGGCAGGGCTCAGGAAGAAGGGGTGGGGGGTGTTTGTGGCGTGCCCAATTTTAGTGGTGGCTGCGGACATGGTTATGGGGGGTGCTGGTGGGGGGGCGCCCAATTTAAGTGCAGCACAAAAGCAAAATACACCACTGGCGGTTAGCGGGAGGCAAAAATGTGGCTCAACCATGCTTTTTTTTACCACCCTCTCAAGAGGAATCCCAAGCAGTATTTTTCTCAGTGATCCCCAATGGGCTGGTTCTCTCCGAGGGTCTCCATAACCTGACAATTATTCCAAGGGTTGTTCTGGGGGGGTGTAAAGGTTGGGAAAGACTGCCCTATAATAGAAGAGTCACTCACCAGTGCTCAGCTCAAAGGCTTTCTTTCTGCTCTCCTCCAGCTCCTCCCGCAGCCGAGTGCAGTCCGATGTTCCCCCAACACACAGCACCAGCTGCCGGTAACACGCGGTCACTTTATTCAGGGAGCTATGAACTTTCTTGCAGTTGGCCGCTGTCCCCGAACCGCCGCTGTCCGCTGCGTGCCCACGAATCCCACGCAGCGTCAGTGTCCTGCTGGGGTGCAAGTGTGGGGGTGCCGGGGAGGCACCCTCCAGGGCCGACATGCTTGACCTGTCCCAGTTCTGAGGCGGGGGCACCTGGGCAGACAAAAAAAAAAAGGAATCAAACTGATCAAGAAGCCATCACAGCACATTTCCCACACGTTCCAGCCGCCCTGTATTCATTCTGTCCATTGAAAGCGCCCTGATTGCTGGCAATGGGCTGTGCGCTGGCGATGAAGTGTTTCATTAGCGCTCACCAAGCACCGCACACAAGAGACACTTCTTTTTTTTTTTTCTGCAAGTCATGACTGAACACTATAGGAATGAATGTGCATTGTCTGCAGCAGCATGAAGGAGGTGAATGCTGAGGATCAGCCATGACTTGCACCGTGCCTGTTGATATACTCTGCTGGGCTCACTAGGTTTACATGGCGGTGACACAGACATCACTGATCTCAGCACTCAGCAGGCTGGGGGTACCATTACCACTACTTCTCACCAGGAATCCTGCCCCAGGCACCCCATGTCTGCCTGCAAGGAGGAGGCTGCTGTCACTGGATATGAAGGGACTGTGCATGGAGCAATGTCATCCTTCCTAGGGCAACACAGGAGCAGTTGCTCCAAGCAACCAATCAAAACAGAGCCGTTGCTCGTAGCAACCAATCAGGTTTCAATGTCTAACCTGCAATGGTGAATGAAGAAAGCTGTGTGGTTGCTAGGGGCAACAAATGCTCCGTTTGCATTCATAAAGGTGACTGGCCGTCGTCAGGGGCAACAGATTCCCTCCTCGCTCTAGTCCTGACAGTCCAGCCCCACACTGATAGATCGCCCTCCCCCGGCCCGGTCCCCTTCGGCCACAACTTACCCGGCCCCCAGCCGAGTTGGTCGGGCGGCGGTGCTGGCGGTCACATCCCGGGGTGGAGGGAGGGAGGGAGGTGAGGAGCTGAGAAGCCGTGTGTGTGCGGCTCAGCCGGCCCGGGTAATAGGATAATGGCAGGAAGCAGCTGCTGCAATACATCACACAACAAAAAACAACCACAACACACCACAACAAACACCACAACATACACCCATCACAAAACAACACACTGTACACAACACAACCACCAACAAAACACAACCCTACAAAACACACAAACAAAAAAAACAAACCACACAACAAACAATAAACAATACATCACACACACAATAACACCCCACACACACAACAACACCACCCCAACAAAACCCACACACACAACAAAACACACAACACACAAACACAAAACAAAACATCACACCCCCACAAAAACACAAAACAAACAACAACAACACACACACCCACACAACACACACACACACAAACACACCCACAAAACAAAACAAACACACAAAACAAACACACACCCCCACACCACAAAAAAACAAACCACAAAAACACCAAACACACACACACAAACACAACCACAACACCAAACAAAAACCCCACACAAAAACACCCCACATACACACAAAAAACACCCACCCCACACCCCCACACACAACAAAACCACACCCACCACAAACCAACACACCACACAACCAAAAAACCAACACAACACACAAAAACAACACCCCACAATGTACACCCCAAACACAATACACCACAACAACACAAACACACAATACACCACAAAACACAACACACAATACACCACACTGTACAAAAACAACAAACACCACACCACACAAACACACCAAACCCCAAACACCCCCACAACACACAAACACACCACAAAAACTGTACACAACAACAAATAACAAAAACCAAACACCCCACAAAAAAAATCAAACACACACAAACCACACAAAAAAAACACAACACCCCCCACAACACAACACACCCACACACACAAAACCACACTGTACACAAAACCTAACACAACACAAACAACAACCACACACACAACCACAAAATACACCACCCCTGTACACAACACACAATACAACACTGTACACAACACACAATACATCACACCAACACAACATACACTACACTGTAACAACACACAATACACCACACACATGCACACAACACACCACACATGACACAGTACACATCACACTATACAACACACAAACCATCAAAACTGTACACAATACACTACACATCACAGTGAACACAACACACAATACATTAACAGTGCACACACACAACACACACCACACAAAACCCCATACAACAACACACATACATCACACTGCACAATACACTGTACACAATACACTACAGATCACACTGTATACAACACACAATACATCACACTGTACACAACACAGCACACCACACTGTACACAATACATCCATTGTACACATCACACAATACACTATACAACACCCAATACATCAAACTGTCCACAACACAGTACACATCACACAATACATTACACAGTACACAGCACACATCACACAGTACATTACACTGTACACATCACACAATACATCACAGTGTACACAACACAGTACACATCACACAATACATCAGACTGTACACAACACAGTACACATCACACAATACATCAGACTGTACACAACACAGTACACATCACACAATACATTACACAGTACACAGCACACATCACACAGTACAGTACACAGCACACATCAGTACATTACACAGTACACATCACACAATACATCACAGTGTACACATCACAGTACACATCACACAATACACTATACAATACATCACACTGTCCACAACACAGCACACAGTACATCACATTGTACACATCACACTGTACACAGCACACTACACACACTGTACACACACACACACATACATCACACAATACATCACACTGTACACATCACACAAATACATCATACTGTACACATCACACACTACATCACACTGTACACATCACACAATACATCACACTGTACACATCACACAATACATCACTGTACACATCACACACTACATCACACTGTACACATCACACAATACATCACACTGTACACATCACAAAGGACACAAGGGACCATCTTTCTTAACGCCTATCAGAGCACAACACAGTACACCACAGATTACACTGTACACACAGCATAGAACACATCACACGGTACACACCACAGTACACATCACACTGTACACATCAAATCCAAGTGCGTTCCAAACTACACAACGTAGTACACAACACATCACACAAAGCACCCTACACATCTTTCTGCACACACTGCATCACAAAGCCTGTCACACAGTACACACACTACCCCTCCCCTGTGTCAGTACCCTGCACCCCCCAATCATCTGCTCTGGTCTGATGGTAAACATTTTAGTGCGGAGTCCCGGGAGAGGAGTTGATCAGTAATGGAAGTTTTTCTGTCTCTGTACACAGCCATCAGTAATCATTTCCTGCTCAGATCTGGCTCCTTGCTCCAGAGCTAGACTTCCATCATGACACCACACTATTCTGGATCACAGTATCCATTGTTTAATTTTCTGTATAATAAAGGCTCAGTCCACCCAAAGCTGATATTTCATTTTTCAGTAGATGCCGGAGAGACACTTCACCTGAGAGCTTCCTATATCTTTTGGAGACAAGGATCTGCCTACAAGAACCCCAAATTCATTTGTATAAAGACCTTCTTATGAAGTACTGACCCCTATACAGAGATCCTTACATCATTTCTATAGAGATCCCCTAGAAATCCCAAAATCAATCTTTTGGCGGCTGCCTTGAAAGAGACCCTCACACTATTCTTATAGGTTCCCCTTTGAGAGAGAAACTATCATCATTCTTGTAGTGGACTGTGTGTAAATAGACTGCCAACCATCATTTCTAAATTCTGCAAAGAGGTCCCCATATCATTCCTATAGAGACCCCACTCCAAACAGGTCCCCATATTCCTATAGAGACCCCACTGCAAAGAGATCCCCATATCATTCCTATAGAGACTCCACTGCAAAGAGATCCCCATATTCCTATAGAGACCCCACTGCAAAGAGATCTCCATATCATTCCTATAGAGACCACACTGCAAAGAGGTCCCCATATCATTCCAATAGAGACCCCACTGCAAAGAGATCTCCATATCATTCCTATAGAGACCCCCCTGCAAAGAAGTCCCCATATTCCTACAGAGAGCTCACTGCAAAGAGGTCCCCATATTCCTACAGAGACGTCACTGCAAAGATGCCCCAATATTATTCCTATCCCACTGCAAAGAGGTCCCCATATCATTCCTGTAGAGATCACACTGAAAAGAGGTCCCCATATCATTCCTATAAAGACTGCACTGCAAAGAGGTCCCAGTGTTATTCCATATAGAGACCATGCTGCAAAGAGATCTCCATATCATTCCAAAGAGACCCCACTGCAAGGAGGTTCCCATATCATTACTATACAGATCCTACTGCAAAGAGGTCCCCATATCATTCATATAGTGATCCCACTGCAAAGAGGTCCCCATATCATTGCAAAGAGGTCCCCATATCATTCCAAAGAGACCCCACTGCAAAGAGGTCCCCATATCATTCCTATAGAGATCCCACTGCAATGAGGTCCCCATATCATTCCAAAGAGACCCCACTGCAAAGAGGTCCCCATATCATTCCTATAGAGATCCCACTGCAATGAGGTCCCCATATCATTCCTATAGAGATCCCACTGCAAAGAGGTCCCCATATCATTCCTATAGAGATCCTACTGCAAAGAGGTCCCCATATCATCCCTATAGAGATCCCAATGCAAAGAGGTCCCCGTATCATTCCTATAGAGATCCTACTGCAAAACAGTCCCCCCCTATTTTCCTACAGAGATCCTCCTGCAAAGAGGTCCACATGCCATTCCTCCTGAGGTTCCTCAGCACAGAGGTCTCCATATTATCTCTATGAAGATTCCCCTGTAAAAAGACCCCCCCTCCATCAATTGAAAGTCTCTGTACAGAAGACCGCAGCCCCGTAGTCAGGGACCTCCACATGTAGCCTAACCCCCCCCTTCCCCCCAGACCTGGAGAAGTTCTTTTTTGAGAGCTATCATTGGCTGTCATTCATCAGATTGGAGTGGTCAGCTTTTCTGTCCTTTCTCCGGGTGCTATG